GATTGGGTGGGGGTGACCACAGAAGATCATCTCTTGAACATCTCACGTCTCTTGAAAGACCTAGTAGGGTCATGAGATGGAAGTGAGTTGATGGCACATAAGAAAACAGTGGACAAAAAACCAGACAACACAGCAAATCCATGCAGTTGCCCATCTCTGCTTTTCATCCAGCCCCCAACTTTCTGGAAAAAGGGTGATGTAAAAGTGCTTAATACTGTCAGATCCCTACTGTTCACCAGCCTACCTTTACCTCTTTTACTCCCCCCGCCCACCCCCAACGTGGTGGCTGTACCGTGGGCAGAGGAAACACAAATGCCAACTGGCTTCATGGAAGCCCACCTGGCCTTGATCGACATCTGCTTTCATGGGTGCAAAACAGCCTCCCCCCCCTTCAGCATCAGGCCCAGGAAAGCTTCCAAGGAAATGGCTCCAAGCGCTGGGCAGCAGCTCCTGTTTCCTTAGGCAGGCAGCGCCACGATCTGTGTTCCCACTGACCCTTCCAGAGACATTAATAGCCACGGAGAGAACAAGGCTCGTACCGGCAGGGAAGGGAGAGGCGAAAGCCTGAACAAGCCATGGCAGAAGGAGAAACAGAAAAAGGGAAGGTGGAAAGAGAAGGGATGAGAAGAGAGGGATGGGAAGCAAGTCTAGAGAACCATCATGAGAAGGGATGAGAAGAGAGGGATGGGAAGTCTAGAGAATCATCATCATCATCATGTTCCATCAAATAAGTTCCGACTCATGACACATCATCATCATGTTCCATCAAATAAGTTCAGATTCATGACAACCCTTTTCAAGATTTTCCAGGCAGAGAATTCTCAGAAATGGATTCCCCATTCCCTTCTTCTGAGGTGCCCTGGGATAGAGAATTCTCAGAAATGGATTCCCCATTCTCTTCCACTAGGGGGCGCCCTGGGACGACTATGCAGCTGGCCCAAGGCTACCCAGGCTGGCTCTTCTCCCTGGAGGCCCAATGGGGGGGGAATCGAACTCCCAACCTTTGGCTTCACAGCCAGAGACCTAAGCTGCGGTCCTCTGGCTCCACAGCCAGAGAGACCTAAATTGCGGAGCTATCCAGCCAAGGAAGGTGAAATAAGTCCTCCAAAAAGAGATAAAATGCGGGTCAGAACAGTGGTGTAAGGGAACCAGGGCTAGCCGGGTCAAAACCTTGGGATTTTTCAATTAGACAACTTACTGTACTGTATCCACTGTTGGGCTTGGAAAGAGGTAGCGAGGATGTCGTCCCAAAGAGTAACTTGCACAAGTTCTGAACGATAAAACCACCGGGCTGTATACAGACTAGATCTGCTACACTTACAGTCCATTGAAATCCATCTAAAATGCAGTTATGACTTCCGTCTGTTTACAGTGAAGCCCCGAGCTACTAGCAACCTAGTTACTCCCCAGGTAAGGTCTGGATTTGCTGGTTTTCTATTTTCCTCTCAATTCATTTGTATATTTAGACTGTAAGCTGAGAGCAGTTATCTTGTTTTCATTCTGTGCCTGGCAGCTGATAAACGCTGGGTGTTTTACGCATGATTACTATTATAAACTCTCTTAGGTTTCAAAACTTGCCTGGGCATTTTAAATTTAAATCTATAATTTTTTTCCAGCGGGTTGAAACAGTCGCTAAGCCCTTCTGGCTTTTACGATACTGAACATTTTTATATCCGAGTCAACCACCCCGAAAACTTTTCGGTGAAGGCGCAAGCCTATCCGTGTTTACATTAAGAAATATTAATGATTGGGGATTACATTTTTAACTGTGCACCATCTATTTGTCTTGAACGCCTCACTATTTTAATTTATTTAACTTCTGGAGGCCACACCGGACTCGGGAAAGACGTGAGGAAAATCGTTAAGCAAAAAATCAGCAAGCTGTTCCCCTCCTCTCCTTCTTTTCAGCCAGCAGCGCTAATCCCGAGGCGATTTTTGACAGCGTGCAGAATAAAGTGGTAGCAATCATTTAACCCAATTACTCCCCCCAAATTTTGGACCGGAAGGAAGAATTCAAGAATGTTCTTCAGAGGAGTGAACTCTGGGTATATCCATCTACCAAAATTGTACCCCGCACGGGCTCCCCACCTGTCAGAGGAACCAGACCAGGGATTTGACTTTTTCCCCTGCTGCAACCAGCAGGTGCATAAAAATTTATTCTGCTCAACAGTTCCCAGCTGGTAAACATCCTACAGCCACATGGAGACGCAGGCGAAGAGGAATGCAGTGACAAGGGTCGGCCGCGTTTCACCGGCCTGTGTTCGTGAAATGCCTTCCAGGAAGCTGTGAAGGGCATTCTTGGAGACCTCCGGGCAATTTGGACAGATGAGCGACCCTCTGCGAGCAAGACCACGGATGCAGGCTAACCAGTAGTAGCAAGAGGTATGACCGATTCTCCTCCTCCTTGTAAGGGCTGGGGAAACGGCCATCTACGTACTCTGGATGTGCTTTGGGTCTACACCTCGCATCAAACCCTCCGGCCAGCACGGTGGCAGCCAAAAAGCCATTAACCGGGCATCCCACAATTTGAAACCCTTCACCGAGTTACACCTTAGAGCAACAGAGGCCGACCGATTACCCTCTCGTCTTTGCAACCAATCTTGCTTGGATGAACGACGACGACCGCCTCTGCAGTCTTTTAGCAGCTCTAATAAACACTATGCCCAATTTGGGGTTACACGGCTCCTTTGTTTTAAAGATAGCAATCCCGTATCTTTGGTTAAACAGGCAAGGGACGTCAGACGGTGCATCTGGCACGTCAACACATCTCCGCTCCGCTCCTGCTTCATGGCACGGACTGGGTCACAGGAAAAAAGGATCCGAGTTGGTAGAAATGTTCCCGGATCAGCGTTTTCCAAATATAGGGCCGAGAAGTTCTTGGATTGCAGTTCTCGGATGGCCTGCCTGACACCGCCTCTGTTCAGGGCACGGGGAATCGTTGTTATCCAAGAACGCAGGCAGCTCCGAGTTTGGGAGGTTCTGTCCTAGATTGCACCACTTCGAACTGGAAATTGGGGCAGCTCAGCCATATAAAAATAACTCTGCGTGCTGGAGGGGAAATGTGCCGGGGAAGAGAAGCCTAACTCACACTCACACCTCCCCCCCAAATGGTGAGTCTCTCAAAGGCAAGAGATTTCTCTGCCCAACCCGGAAGGCTGAAATGTTCAATTGTTAAGAACCATCTACACTGCCCTCCCATGTGGCCTTGTTCAGAAATGGCTTTTCACTGCATCGTTTGCAGGAAAGGAGCTTAGGAGTTTAAAGATATATATGCATTTTTAATCACAGCTCTTTTGTAACAAACAGTTGTGGTGTTCTGGACCACAGCACACAATTATAATTATGTGCCATCCGTTCTGACTGATGGTGGCTGTTTACGGGGTTCTCCAGGGAGAGGGAATACTCAGAAATGGTTTCCCCATTCCCTTCCACTAGGGGGCGCCCTGGGATGACTCTGCAGCTGGCCCAAGGCCACCCAGGCTGGCTCTTCTCCCTGGAGGCCCAGGGGGGGAATCGAACTCCCAACTTCTGCCTCCGCAGCCAGAGACCTAAACCACTGACCTATCCGGCCACCTCCCAGTCCCCTTAGCACCACCTTAACTTGCTAGAACATAATCATCGGGGCTTTGGGAACAATATGAACAAGTTTCACACAGTCCTAAAAGCAGTTGCAGATTCCAGAAATAACATAAACAATATTAGGAACAAAAAAAAAAAATGGCAATATTAGGAACAGCCGCCATATGGAGGGTCATCGCTGGACGGTGAGTTTTTACCCACTGGAACGCATTGAACGGGTTTCAATGCGTTTCAATGGGGTTTTTATTTTCGCTTTACGATGTTTTTGCTTAACGGCGATTTTCCTGGAACGGATTGTTGTCGTTAAGCGAGGCACCACTGTATTTTCAGATCATGGATAAATGAATCGGGGAAGGCAGCCCCAAACTCCGGAAGGGCCCTCCGGTCGGCTGAAGAGCACGCGGTGAAGAAGAGCCTGCTCCTCTCCCGCCGCCACCGGCTCAATCTCCACCATGATGGGAATGGAATCTTCTTCCCACGAAGGGAACTCTGAAACATCCCCCAAAATAAAAAAGAACAAGGGAAAACAGCGAGCTGCTTAACAAACGCCTTTGGCTTTCCAGATCCCCTACGGCAGGGGGAGAGCGGCTGCCTTTTCTGGATCCTCCTGGACTCTGGACCCATCATCCCCAACCAGGAGTCCCGGTCGGCCACCGATCAGGGTCGGGCAGACCCTCCAGTCTCACAACAGACCGGAAGAGAGAGGCCGAGTTGACGCCTGAAGGCCAACAGGATCTGTCTGAGCGTCTCTGGGCCCTATCCGGAGAGAGAGCGTGGGGCTCTCTCTATCCTACTCAGGGAAACCAGATCTTTCCAAGTTCACTTGGAGAGCCTGCTAGGAACCACACAAGGGGGTCGGGAGACCAGCACCAAGGCAGAATCAGGAGACACCATGGGCTTGAGCAAAGCGCGCCGGAGACCGGCAGAAATCTTCCCATTTTTAAAGCGACCGCACCCTTCTTCTTTTTCCAAGTCATGTCCCAACAAGGGCCGTGCCCCTCCCCGCCCCCCCGGCTAGGAAAAACACCAGAAGCTTCTTCTGCTCTCCCGTGACAGGGAGAGCATTATGTAAAATTATTATTTTCACTATAGCACAGGGCATTGGGAAAGAGGGACAATCCCACCTCGGGAAGCCGAAATGGCGAACGCAGCGTTCCCGAGGCCCGCCCTCTTGGGCTCGCGCTTCCCCCTCCCCGCCCACGGAAGTCCCACGGAGACGACAATCCGTTCGGGTCGCCACCGCGTCAAGACTTTCAAGAGATCCGGCGGGTGGGTTTAAAACAACAGTTTAAGAGAAGCCTTTGGGAAGAGCTCTAGCAGCACAAGGTGGAGTTGAAACTTGAAGGCAGAAGCGATAGCTGGTGAGGAGGGGGGGGGGAGAGAGAGGCGGCACTCCCTGAGTGTGGAAAATACACCTTTTCTTTTTTGGAGGTGGTGCTGGGATGGAATGAGGACGCGAGAGTCTGGCCTACGTCGGCTGGATGACTCGGTGGCCACTTCCTGCCTTGGCTGGTGCCCGTGATGGTCTTCTGCCTGACCCTCACTCTCCTCCAACCCGAAGGAGACCAAGGGGAGATCCACCCTTCTGGAGACGTGTTCCTTTCCTCATGCAAGTGGCTTGGAGCGGATGACACTGGTTTTCTTGAGCCGGGCGAAAGGACGAAAAGGCAGGGGGGCGGAAGGAGACCGGTATCTGTCTCTTTTGTTGTCCTCTTCTCCTCCTCTACTTGTTCTTGGCCATCGCCTTGTAGAGCGCGACGCCCACAATGGCGGTCACGGTGGCTCCCAAGGCAACCCGGATCCAGAAAGAGGCGGTGCCCAGGTCAATGTCGTTGAGGTGCCTGCAAGAGAAAAACGACAACGTTCCACCTGGGGAAAGAATAACTGGAGGGGGGGGGAGGAAGTAGAGGAGACAGAAGGAAGCAAAGGCCAGTCAAAGAGGGAGCAGCACCAGGAAGAGGGATCATCTTGCTGCTGAGACCAAGGCTCTCTGAGGCCCGCCATCTTGGGCTCACGCTTCCCCCTCCCTGCCCACAGAAGTCCTAAGAACTTCACAACAATCCACTGGGTTGCCACCAGAGTCTCGAGAGATCCAGGGTTGGGGTGGGTTTTAAAACACCAGTTTAAGAGAAGAATATAAGGGTGGTCATTAAGGGCAGGCGAGGGCGATGCTGACCAATCTGGTATCAACAATTATAATCCAGCAGGAATCGCATCTTCTATACCTGCAGCATGTGAGGGCAGATAAGATGGTTCAAAACCAGTGTTGGTTGGCATTTGGAAGAAGACGGCCTTCTAGCAGAGATGCGCTATCTTCCTATCCAGTCCAGAGGTGAGCAACAAATACATGGCAGGGCATCTTTTGGGTTACAATTCCCATAATCCATCATCGCCTTGACGGTCAGGCGTTGTAGGCTCCAAATAAGCAGAAAGCCAGAGTCATCCTTCCCTGATCTAATCCTCTCTACGGCCTGCGCTCTCTCTCCAGTCAAGATCTTTAGGCCAGAGGGTTCTCTCTTGGCCTCGAGCCTTGCAATGATGAAACATAGGGAGGCAGGGAACGCATGGCCCTTGAGAGGCTGCTGGATGGCAACTGCCATCATCCTTCCCCATTGGCCACGTCAGCGAGGGCTTAACGGTCTAGTAACCATTGGGGAAGGGCTCTTATTTCCTACATTGACGGAAGGTGGGAGAAAGGCTCTCTCTTTAGCAACCCGGTGAAGCTGCCTTGCAGCATGCGAAGCCACCGGTTCACCTCATCGAGATCAGGATCACCTCTTCCCTCTGTGGCTCCTAATCCTTGGTCACCCGGGTGGTTCTTGGACTACAACTCCCAGGATCCTTCACCACTGGAGTTTCTGGGAGTTGCAGAACAACTGGATGACAGAAGGTTGCGAACCTCTGTCCTACCATCCTGGCTCTCAACCGTAATGCGTTCTGCACATTTGCAGCATGGACGACTTCCGTGAGGACCTGAGGTCCAAAACACCGGGTGGACAATAGGCTGGGAATCCTTTATGCTTCGTCAGCTCTCCAGGCTCTACGGTGGAGAAGACGGTTTTGCAAAGATGTCAACCTCCAGATCCTTCTAGAAGGGGAGACGCCGGGAACTGGCCGCAGGTCCTTCGGCTGGCAAACACATTAAGCCATCAAGGGCGATGCGGCTCTTTCCAAATGCCCTACACAGCCTCCCCCTTCCTCCTCTGGTGACCGGAAGCAAGATAAAGCCACGTACAATCAGCAAATAGACAAGTTAACTTACATTTGGGGAATTTATGCAAAATTCCCCAACTGAAATACCTCTGACAGGAAACGGCAGGAAATTGAAAGACAAGGAAGGAAAAAAAAACAACCCAGCCTAACTGCTCTATTTATGTGCCAGGTAGGTTGGGCGAGAACCAGCCTGTTCACTTAGCGTGAGTATAAATAGTTTGCCAGGGTCTAAATAATTCGCAGCAGAACAGAACTGGAGTGATGCTTTTCTAGGTCATAACACTGCTTCGGTACTTATTTCCACTAAGAAGATCAAAGTCAAAGCCTCGGAGAAGTTACTTTTTCAGACGACAACACCCAGAACGCTCCAGTGACAATGGAAAAGAAGCCAGTGGTTCCAACCTCCGAATTTAAAATGAAACAAACACACCGGAAAGAGTCTCAGCCCACCTTTGCCTTCGACACCTGGGGGCTCCTTCCGTGGACCCACCCCACATAATCAAGGACATACCCCGTAGCGGTGGCGTCCCATTCCATGTTGGGCCACTCAGAGTTGTATTTCCCACAATGCCTTGGGTCAAACAGATGTCAGGTGGCCCAAGGCCTTGTAGGAAATCTAGAACAGCAGCCTGTGGCCAGGGAGGAATGGGGAAGGTTCCTCTTTCGGGACCACAGCTCTCCGAATCAGGCTGGGGGAATCCAGGAGTGACACTCCGAACAGACACCTTTTCCCAACTGTCCTGATGGCGCAGGAGAGAGGTGGGCTCTCTCAATAAACTTGGGGACCAAGTTCGTACCACGAAAACCCATCCCACAATGCAGTGATCCCTGAAATGACACAAGCCATCATTAAAACAAAACCAACCAACAAAACAACCCCAGACATGCTCTCCTGGTTTATTTTTGGGTTTTCCGGCAGCAGGAGATCTCGGAGAACATCCCCCCATCCCTAAGCTGAAAAATACTTTTCTGGAGACGGGAAATAAGCTGCTTTTGGCCAATCCATATTTGAGGGTGGGGTACGATTTGTCTCACAGGAGAGGAACTCTGCTGTGGGTTTTGGGGTCTCAAACACGCCTTCAAGGGATGACAGAGCGGCCACACCTGGATCCAGAGGGATCAGAGGGGGCCGGGAGAACTTTATCCCAAGCACAGAACGGCGAAAGGCGATCGGAACGGGAAGGAGAAAGAGGCAGCCCGGTGGAGGGAAACCATAAAGCAGAAACAAGCTGACAAAAAGGCATCTCCACCTATCGGTCCTGATCGAGGCCTACGCGTTCCGCATGCGGGAAAACGTATTGCCAAAGCAACGATACTCATCTCCAGTTGAACAAGCCGAATATTAAAAGGGAACCAAGATAAAATTAGATCCCTGAAAACATAAGGATGCTTATCAGTCATCACACCGCGCATTTCCTTCCAGCCTCCTCTCAACATACATTTCTTTTATCACATGCGCTCTCTCTCTCTCCCCCACCTTTTCCTCCGCTTTTCATAGATATATTAGGATGGTTTTAAGAATGGTGGCATAAATAAATAAAGCTCTTAATGCAGGACCGAAGACCCGCTCTCTCTTCTCTGCCCTTTGAGTTCATAAATAATGGATCTCCTCCCCTCTGCGGGGAGCGGCGTTACACTTAATGCAAAGCAACGCAACACAGCAAACTCTCGACTTGTTAAAACAACAGCCAGGGCCCATGCCTCGGCTGCTGTGGGGATGGGGGGGGTGTCACACGGAACACAATTTGCAGGCCAGCTGCAGAGGCATAATTTCCCAGGACGGGGTACGTTCACCATGTCAGAAGAGTAGTCTTCCGAGCTACACAAAACTCTTCTTTATGGGAGAGGCCTTTCTCTCGGTCCTGCCGCGTTCACACCTGTATCTGGTGGGGACACCAGAGAGGGTATCCTCTGTGGCTGCTCCCAGAGACTCTGGAACTCCCTCCCACTAGAGGCCAGGTTGGCCCCCATCTTGGCCGTCCTTCCACAAGCAGCCAAACCCCCTTTCTCTTCAAGCAGCCTCTCCCTGAATGACTGGCTTCCTGAATGGGTTTTTTTTTAGATGAATGTCTGTGCCTTATGGCTTTGAAGGTATTTTTGGTGTTGATTTTTGTTTACCATCTTTTAGTGTCGTATCTGCTTCATCCTTTTTAAACATTTGTATACTTATTTCTGTCAGCTTTAAATATTGTCTTTTAAACTATGTAAGCTGCCTGGGGTCCTTTTTAAGGAGAAAGGTGGGCTAAAAATGAATGAATGAATGAATGAAATAAAAATCTGTTGTAGAGGAGTGATCACCAGAGGACTTGGCTATTTCCACCTTTCTTTTGTCCCATTTTTGCAGACTTTTAGTGAGGTGGGGGATAAGCAAAGAGAAAGAAAATGACTTTGCAAGCCTCTGGATAGTTATAAAAGCTTACATATTAGGTACAAATGCCATCCGCTTGGGGATTACTTAGGTCTTCCGTTTAGCACTGACCTCCTTTAAAGATGCAGGAAAAGGGTTTCAATGTCTTGCTTTCCCTGGCAACACAGTAACCATGTTTGCATGACATAAGCCAAAGGGCAGATTATTGAATTCTGGCTTGTGATATGTGGCTTCACCTTTGCTGATTTTTTTTAAAAAACACTTCATAATTCGAAATCATTGTCTGTTGCTGGCTTACAAACTCTGGCTTTTTACAACCATGGTTTATTGCGACAACCTCAATCGTGGTTTGTTTCTCTCCGGCCCTGAAACAGGAGCTGACAAGAGGCCCACGGATTCAATGGTTCCGCTTTAGTGCATTTCACTGCACTAAGCAAAAGGATTTGGACCAATCTCACACCATCTAAGCCCACATGAGGTTGATTTGGGATGCTATGGTGCCTGTCCCCTAATTTACTTTGTTGTGACAGGGTGGGGGTGTGTATAATTGGGATGTCCCGCTTCCAGTGATGCCCGCACCTCGCAGTAACACCTGAAGCACTCTCCGAGAATAACATGGGGGGGGAAGGTACTTACGGAAAGGTAGCCGCTGTGGCCAGCTTGGCATAGATGGCGGGGTTGGGTGGCCCTTGTCCGTTGCAGCTGAAGCAGAACGGCGGAGGGAGGCGATGCTTGTAGCAGAATTCGGCCGGCGAGAGCCCGTGGGGGAATGTCGTCTCTGGCAGGTCTGCTCTAGAGGCCACAAAGAGGCATGGAATCTGACCGTCCATGTAGTGCTGCTGCAGTCGCAAGAGTTAATAGGGACAAATTAACTTCTCAGAAAGAGAAAAGGAGAAGGCGTTTGGTAGCCACCGTTTCTGATGTCTACCCCGCTCCCCACGAGCATGAATCCTGCCTCCTGCCTCAAAACCAACAGTTTGAGAATGTGCTCTCACACTCTATAAGAAGATCCGGGATCGCAGAGAATTAAATGGGGGGAAATTCCTACCCAGCGATCGGTACAGCGTTTTTTAAGAGCCTGGCAGCCTTCGAAAGGAAGGAATACTTTTAAAAAGCCTTTTAACCTACTGTGATTAAGGTGCAACACTAAAAAGATCAAGAAGAGCCTGCATTATTGGTGTTTTGAAATCTCTGGAGGCAAGCTGTTTATACTGAGTGGCCAGAATCCTGCTGGCGAGTCATGTTTTCGTAAAGGAAATGGCGCACGTCTTGGCTGCAAATTGTCACTGTTAATGAGGTGGTGGCTGAAATCCTGGGCACACACGTATGGGTCAACCAGATGCTTCTAGGAAGCAGAACAGCAGGGCTGCAAGCCAACAGACCTCCTTCCCCCTTCTTCGGTTCTGAGGAACAACGGGCATTCAAAGGGATGCCTGCCTCTCTGAGATATCACCCTGACCACGCCTGTCTGCGTCCGTGCGGCTTCCAGCAGATCCTGCCAGAACCACCAAGCGATGGGAACCTACAGCTGAGCTTTCTATCCTCATACCTATCCTACAGACCGCATCCTGTCCCCTGCAGGAGCGGCTCTTGGATGCTTCTGAAAACAGGAGCTCAGGTCAGCGATCAACCTTCGCGGTTGCCCCTCAGCCAACGGGCGAGACGGGAGGCACAAAGTCACCTTATAAACGCTGGCACAGTAGTTGAACGACTTGTGGTCCGTCGCGTCGTACAATAAGCAGGCAACATCGCAAGCCGCGTCGGATGCTTTCGCAAACTCCACGTCCGCCTCCACCTCTTGCAGCTAGGGAGAAACAAACACAAGCAGGGCCGGTCATGCGACGTCTTGAACCTCTTTGCCCAGTGGTTTCCAAACGGTTTCTTTTCAAACCCTTACTGGCCATTTTGATATTTTGGGGGGAGAGGGGGGAGAAGGAAAGGTTGGAAGCCCAGCCTGAGTATTACAGTAGTACCCCCTATCCAGGAGAGACCAGTATCCGTTGATTCGCTTATCCACTGTGTGAAAATACTTACTGCATTTTTCCATGTATAAGACTATATTTTTGTCTAAAATGTTTAGTCTAAAATTGAGGGTTGTTTTATACACGGAAGTAAGCTGAGGAGAGAACAAAACTTTGCCCAGTGGTTTCCAAACGGTTTCTTCTCAAACCCTTACTGGCCACCGGTGGCGGCTCCCCAAAATGATATTTTCGGGGGAGAGGGGGAGAAGGAAGGGTTGGAAGCCCAGCCTGAGTATTACAGTAGTAACCCCTATCCAGGAGAGGCCAGTATCCGCTTTGATCCCTGCTTTCCCCTCTGCTTGCTAAGTCCCATGGGGCTTAACAAAAGGAAGGGGGAAAGAATCAAAGTAATCCTGTGACTGTATAAGGGGGAAAGGGATCAAAATGATAGTGCAGTTGCGGGATTGCTTTGATCCCTTTCCCTCTCCTTTTGCAAAGCCCTGCGGGGCTTAGCACAAAGGGAGAAAGCAGAGATCAAAGCAATCCTGCAGCACTTTGATCCCTTTCCCCCTACACTTGCTAAGCCCCACTTAGATTTCTTAATTTTGGGTTAGAAAAGTGGGGAGCACACATGGGGCCATCTTATACACTGAAAAATACGGTAATAACCCCCCTCAGAAATACGTTTTTATATGTATAAGAGGGAAAGGGATCAAAATGATCGTTCCAGGATGTATTTACAAGAACTGGCAACTAGAGGCAATCAGAGAACATGCAATGTTTATCCTGGCTAAAGGATAAATGGGACGCCTCTCAAGGCAGGGACCTGTTTCGTGTCACTTGATTAAAAAAATAATCATGCTCACAAATACCGCTAAACAGTCAAACCTCTCCATCTGGGAGATATTTAGTGGCATCAATGAAAATAGCCTAAAAGTTACGTACTTTACGGGGGAAGCTTCAAAATGTCTCCGACCTGTTTCGTGTCACTTGATTAAAAAAAGAATCATGCTCAGAAATGCCACTAAACAGTCAAACCTCTCCATCTGGAAGATATTTAGTGGCATCAATGAAAATAGACTAAGAGTTACTTTACAGGGGCAGCTTCAAAATGTCTCTAGCCGTGTGGAAAGCGGCAGATGAAATATTTTATGTATGATGTGTACAAGACATGTTTAAGTTGGCCGAAAGAAAGATGGGACGAGATTAAGCTTTGAGGAGCAACAGACATTCTTAGCAAACTAATGTGATCTTCTGCAAAGGGATATGAGTGTCTCTGTTCAGAAGTAAGAATTGGCAACCAAATACTGTGTTTTCCTAAGCAGGAAGAACAATAACACACGATTGGCTTTGTTTTATCGTATTATTTTCTTTCACTTATATTTTCTTTCACTTATATACCAGCTTTCACCTCGTAGAGAACTTACTATTATTTCACCTTGTAGAGAAACTTACTATTAAATGCTTCTCTTGCCCGTTGACTTGCACGGTGTTAATTGTATAACAGGACAGCTTCCCTTCAGATCTTCTTTGGGCCTGGAAAGAAAAATGTAAAACAGGGATGATGACACCCAGGGTCCATTTTTCTGAAATACGGTGGTAAGGGAATGAGCGACGCTTCTGAAGCCTACGAGGGTGAAGGATGTTTGGGGGTCTCAAAGCTTCTGAGTTAAGATCACTCCTTGGTCATCACATGACGTGTGTTTTTTCAAGGTGATGGGCATCCACGGGATCACTCAGACCAGTGGTGGAGGCTCAAGCCCCACGGTAGGTCCAGGGTCTGCTTTTCATGACCCTCCACGTCAGGTCCTCCATGAAACCAGAAGTGACCAGAAAGTCACTTCCAGCTTAAGAAAAAACAAACAAACGAACAAAAACCCAAGTCCACTCAGATTTGGGAAAAATAAACCCTAAGCCCACTTTCAATTTCCCCTTTTGTTAAAATGTACATCCATAAAAGGCCAAATATGAGGACGGCGGCAGAGATTTCAAGCATGGTGGGACTCCCCCGTATTCACGGGATTAATCTGTTGATTCGCTTATCCAATGGTCTGAAAAAATATTAAACGATTAATCCTAAAAACACATATTTCTAACAACGAAGTTACCAGAACTGGCCACTAGAGGTAGACAGAGACCATGCTACGTACAGCATTCACTAGTATAACAGTGTTTGTTATATCCATGTTTTTCAGCATCTGCGGGGGGGGCTGGCTAGGAACCAATCCCCCTTTGGGGTCCTACCGTAGGTCCACGTCTCTCACACAAAGAACCCTTGAAAGGGTTTTGCTGTTCTTTCTACCTTCATCACATGATAGGTGACCTCTTAAGCAGGTCTCTCTTCCCTGGCTAACAGAGGTCCCAAAGAGAGAATCCTGCACACTTACAGACAGGTTCTTCCCGAGGAAGGCCTGCAGGAAGGCAGACTTGCCAGCGCCTCGAGATCCGATCACTTTGCACAGGAAGACGTTCCGATGCGTCTGGCCCTTCTCCAGGTCAATCCTTTTCTCCCGTGTAACTGGAGCAGAAGACAACAGGGAAGAGGGGGAAGAGGAAACCAGGCTTAAGATGAACTTCTCTTTTTCCCGCTGAGTTAACTGCTACCTTTGCACGACCGGAAGAAGGCCCAGTTTGACTGGTCCCCCTTGGCAGCCCGAGGATTATCCACAATCCTCACGTTCCTTCTGCCATCAAGGCGGAAGTTGGAGTCTAGTGGCCGGCCGGGAGGGCAAACGCTGCACCTGCGCCAGGACAGGGGAGAACACTCCCCTCCACCCTGATTCCAAGGCTGTTTGAGGGTTGAAGGAGTGAGAAGCCTAACTGCCAATTAGGAACATCAATCAGGACTTGACACCTCCGGATGAAGATGTTTTTTTTTAAAGTGATATTTGGACAGATGCTTCCGAGAGAGAATTTGCACACTGGCAAAGCTGTGCAGCTCTGCACAGTTGCACAAGGCAGAAAACTGCAATAAGAGATGCCTGGTGGTTGCAAAGATGGCTGGATCCGATGGTTCCTCTGCATCTTAATGGACAACCCCCTTTGTGCTCAGCGTGGCCGGGAAGCTTAGCTCCAGAAAGCGGAAAGATGCAAATCAACTGGGCAAAAAAGGTGCTTGGCGTCTCGGTCTTGTGCTGGAGTTGAGATCTTTTGCTTGGGATCGGGAAACTGTGATCAACTGCAGTAAGACCCCCGCCCCCATCCGCAGGATCACTATCCACTTATTCACCTATCTGCGCTCTGAAAAGACTTGAATAAACCCCTCCAGAAATACTTATTTCCAGGGCATATTTACCAGAACGGGCCAAAAGAGGGAGCCAGAGATCATGCAATGTAGAGTGTTCGATATCCTATTTCGTGGCACCCGCAAGAGGGCTCGGAATGAGTCTCCCGTGGAAGCCGTGGTCCAACTGTTATTGGCAGGATCCTTTCGCGCTCCTACCTGTGATGGCGTGAACCTGAGAATCCTGCTCTGAGAAGATGGGGTAGCCCAGGTAACCGAGGTGCTCCAGGCAGCGATGGACGTCCAAGTAGGCGACCAGCCTAAGGAAAGCCCAAGCAGAGGGACGGCCGCCGGTTACGAGGGCGGCGAGGGGACAGCCCGCCGAGCGTGAAGGGAAGTGGTATTGAAGGAGGGAGGGCAGAGAGGGGCTGCGCTTACGTCCACTGGCAGAGGAATCCATGCAGGGAAAGCAGGCCGTTATCAGTGGTGCATACCGTGTGGTAGAGCTCGGTGCCCCAGGGCACGTAAGGGAAGACGCTGAAGAAGCTCTGCAGCTCGGCTGGGGAGAGGGCGCCGTCCCGGTCCTAGAGAAACGGAAGGAAGAAAAAAGGCCGCTGAGCCACCTTTCCTGCCATCCGCCCGGTTTCGTGGCTATGCTAGCAGAATTCCATGAAGGGAATGGGGCAGAAAAGGATGGGTCCGGGGGCCCCAATCCACCCATATCCTCTCCCAACACGGGCGTCAGCACAACAGCGAGCCGCAGGTCAGACATCTCGCGGTGAAAACACACTTGCAGGTTTCAAAGGATGTTTGTTGGAGGAGGAGGACCGAGAGCTGGGAGAAGATGCCGGGCAGGGTGGGGGGAACTGGCCCTGCTTTCTCTCCACGGATATCAAGCCGCGAGATGCAGGAGTGAAGAGAAACTGTTGGGGGATAGAGACGGTCCCTTTTACAGCACTCGACGCTGCCGATGTGCGGCAGGGCCCGACAGCTGCCTCCGGATCTTGACTGGGGGCTTTCTGGAACCGTGTCATCAGCCACAGCTCAAGCCAGGACAGGATGGCGTAGGATGATTAATCCGCAGCAGGACAGTCAGGACACATGCTCGCTCCCAATCAGTTTAGGTCCAGGGTGGGCAGAATGCAGTCCTGTGACTGATAAGACTGTTCTTGCACACACACCCCGAAGTCGAATAATTTCCTTACCCTAGCACAAAAGTTTTCCACAGCAAAAAATAGGTAACTTGCTACCAGGGATGGGCACGCCCTGTCAGTTCGGGGGTTCGTAATGGTTCATTTTTTGGACGCGCAGGTGTTCTGCGCTCCCTCTGACTTCCCCAGCCTGCCTCCTCTGGTGGGCAGCACCCCGGGCTTCCCTGCCTCGCCTCCTCCTCTGCACGGGTGCCCGCTGGGGTGCAGGAAGCCGGGGCGCCTGTGGAAGAACGGTGTGTCCAAAGAACGAACCACTGCAAACCTGCAGTTCGTGCCCATCTCTACTTGCTGCTACTAGAAGCCTTCCGAAGCCTTCATTTTTAAATAGGTTGGAGGTCCTGTTGACAACAGGTTTTGCGAGCAGGACCTCCGTGGTTTTTCCAAAATCTGTAGACTTTGAGCCACTGCCTGCTTCCTCGCTCCCCCAGCCCTTCCCCACCCTGCCCATTTTTTTGGAGGAAGGTGCAGCAGCCCCTGGAGAATCGCATGGGGGCGAAGGGGGCACAGGCAAGAGAGCGAGGGGCAAACAGCCTGCCTGGAGGCAGGTCCCTCGACACCGCCACGCTCCAAGGCGGCCAACATGGCATCGTTCCGTTCCATGGCCACTCCTCCTTTCGGGGTCTCTGCAGCTCACCTTGTCGTGTTTCTCAAAGATCCTCTGGAGGAACTGGTAGGCGAAGTGATTGAGCTCCGTGGAGCAGTCCTGGGGCACCCGGATCCTGAAAAGAAAGGTGCATCGTGGGACAACGGAGGGCAGACTCTCCAAAGGGAGTTCTGAACCCCCGCCGTCTTTTAGGCCCACTGACGACCCGAGTGGAGGAACGCAGCCACTCAGTGCAAGAGGCGGCAGGAATCTCCATGAAAGAAGGCAAGATCGAGAGCACCAGTTTGCAAAAGGAGGCGCACAGAACGGACGTAACGAGCACCTAGCCTTAACCCCGGCTTTCTCCAACCGGTGGCCTGCAGATGTAATGTACTACGACTCCCATGATTCAGAGCCAGCAAGGCCAGTTCGGTGCACGGAAACTAAGCAACACACCGGGCCAATCCCACAGTAAACGTGGCGGTTCCACGCCCTACCCTCCTCATGCCCCCGACCTCCGTACTCGCTGCGCTTTCCATCCCATCCTGAAACCTCAAGAGGGCAAGAAAAGCTACGCACGGGTGCACGGAAACTAAGCAACACACCGGGCCGATCCCGCAGCAAACGTGGCGGTTCCACGCCCTACCTTCCTCACTGCCCCCGACCTCCGTACTCTCCGCGCTTTCCATCCCATCATGAAACCTCAAGAGGGCGAGAAAAGCTACGCACGGCGGGTAGAGATATTCGTCCGTCAGCTCCAGGGCATCGTCGTAGCCGAAGCGGCGCAGGATGGTCCAGGTGGTCTCGTGTCTCCCCCTCTGGATGAAGAGGGTGTTGAGGAAAAGGAAGCCTGGGAGGAGGGGGGGAGAGAAAGAGAGAGAAAACAAGGGAGCTCAGATTTGAAAATGTTGTATCCTAACACGGTGGCTCCAAAGGGAGCATTCTTGGGTTTGCAGAAATGAAGATTGACAAGAAGGGTCTTTAGGGAGTCAGTCAAGCAGACTTCAGGATGTGCGAGTACGCAGCACGATGCCATTTCCGTTGGGACACGAAAAACCATAGCTAATTTACACAAGTCATGATATTTGCTGGTTATAGAATCCTAGAATAATGGTGTCAGAAGGGGCCAATAAAGTCATCTAGTCCAACCCCCTGCTCAAGGCAGGAGTCCAAATCAAGACAGAGGCTGGTCCCATTTCCTCTTGAAGGCCTCCAACTAACGAACGCTCACCACCTCCCTCTGAGGTCATGGGTTATGTTGTTGTACTGCTCTAACAGTTAAGACATTTTTTCCTGATATTCAGGCTAAATCTGGCTTCCTGTTGCTTGAGCCCATTATGATGTGTCCTGCACTCTAGGATGATCAAGAAGATCCTGACCCTCCTCTGGAGCAACCCCCGTACTGTTCCTCCAGGTATTGCAACAAAAGGAAATAAGCGCACAGACTTCTGGCAGGAGAAGAGGAAGCTCCCTACTGAAATGAAAGCCGATTGGAACAGGAAGACCGTTCCGTGTTGCTGTACGCAATCTGTTCCAAAACAACAGTGCTCAGGCTTTTAGAGAATCCAGCTACCCTCCAAACTGGTTGAAGGTTCCAATATTTTCAAAATCCAGCCCTGGGCTACCCAGGAGGTCGTGCTCAGTGGCCGTAATCGTTTTTCTCGTCCACTGCGGAAGATCCAGGGATGATCCCCACCAGCGTTACCCCCAAGAGCCCTCTGCCATAGCTACCATTGAGTGTCAGGCCGTTGTCCTGAACCCCGTCGGTCGTGTTCTTCCAGACCACCATCTTCACGTCTTCTAGCGCTTGGGGAGCCAGAGGGTTGCCGAAGCAGGACTTCTACCTCCCAAGAGAAACAGAGGCCCGTCAGAACAAACAGAAGAAGTGAAGGAACTCCTGCAGATACCGTCAGACCAGTGTTGGTCCAAGTCCCCTGCAGATGCTGAAAAACGTGGATGATAGCAAACACAATCATAATAACGCTATACATAGCATGGTCTCTGGCTCCCTCTAGTCACCAGTTCTGGTAATGTCATCATTAGAAATATACCGTATTTCTCCATGTATAAGACTATACTTTTGTCTAAAATCTTTAGACTAAAAATTGAGGGTCGTCTTATACACGGAAGCAAGCTGAGGAGAGAACAAAAACAAGTGGAGGGGAAAGCAGGGATCAAAGCGATCCTGCAGCGCTTTTATCCCTTTTCCCTTGCACTTGCTAAGCCCCACTTAGATTTCTTAATTTTGGGTTAGAAAAGTGGGGAGCGTCTTATACATGGAGGCATCTTATACACAGAAAGTACGGTATTTCGGTGGTTTTTCTTGTAATAGTTTCAGACCGTGGATAAGTGAATCAGCAGATACTGGGATCCTACTGTTAAACAAAAGCAGAAGAACTAAAAATAGCCCCCTCCCTCCAAAAAAATATATCCAGGGATGAAAAGTAGACAGTTCTTGGAAAAGTTACCTCCCTGGACTGAACCTTCCAGAAGCCATGGCTTGGGTTACTATTCTATCACTCTAAATATAATTAAGCTTGTCTGATAGTCAGGCTTGGTTGGCTTTTGACTGGGAGACCATCAGGGAATACCAGTTGCGGTAACTGGGAAGGGCCTGTAGCTCATTAGCAGAGCATCTGCTTTGCTTGCAGAAGTCCCGGGTTCAATTCCCAGCCTCTCCAGGAACGGCCAAGAAGGAATCCTGTCTGAAACTTTAGGGAACGGCTGCCAGTCAGAGCTGGAAGCACCAGCCTCAATGGACCTATTAGTGGCAACCAGTTTTGCCTGTTCCAGCTTCCGAGGATCCCAGTGGCTTGGAATCAGGGAGCGGTGATTCTAAAAAGGAAAATTTCCAGGCTACCATGCCAACGGCAGGTTCGCCCTGAATATCAGACATTCAAACACAATCTCTTTCACATGCAGTCATGGAATCTGAGACACTGTCAGTGGTTTGGAAATCACAGCCATTGGGCAAGGGTGATAAAAGCCAGGCAAGTTTCTAGCCCTTATGAGATGGGCGCAAACTGCCAGTTTGGCGATTCATGCCGGTTCGGTGACTGGCTAAACAGGTGTTCTACGGTTTGGTGACCTGTCCCTTCCGGTGGGTGCCCACTCAGAAGGGGGTGCCCTGAGGCGACGGGGCCGGGAAGGGTCCTTCTCCTTCCAAGCGGGCATCCAACGATCTGGCGCGAACCAGCGAACCGATGGGGTCGTGCCCACCTCTGCTTATGAAACACGACTGTCGCTGATAAGATGACCTGTCCCTTCCGGTGGGTGCCCACTCAGAAGGGGGTGCCCTGAGGCGACGGGGCCGGGAAGGGTCCTTCTGCTTCCGAGCGGGCATCTACCTTATTGCCGAAAACCTGTTCGGACATCCACCGATCCGGCGCGAACCAGCGAACCGATGGGGTCGTGCCCACCTCTGCTTATGAAACACGACTGTTGCTGATAAGAACTACGTCTTGGGAAGAGACCACGTATTCTGTTAAAGCTTCAGAACCCACTGGCCCTCCCAGGCTGCACTGAGAGGGAAAAGCAAAAGTGAACGCCGATTTTTGTTCCACGTCTGAGATGATGCTCAGTTGGTTGGCAGCGTACATCTGTCTCAAGACTCCGGGGAGCGCGAGCAGATTACACGCATCGAAACGGAAACGAAAGCCAAAGAGATCTGTGCCCAGATAAACAGCCTGAGCGGGGGCGGGGGAAGACGCGGATATTTGTTTAAGGCGCAAGAAACAACTGAACGCGGCACATTTCTCGTGGGAAGAAATAAGAACACAAACATCTTTATGTCGACTCTGGAGAACGGGTTTGCAAGCCGGCCCGCGCTCGCTCCTTAATCCCCGTTTTTGCTTCCTCAACCGCTCATGCTCAAGAACAGCAGCCACGACATCCAGACAGATTTTTTTTTAAGGACTTTCTGCTTCTTTCGCACTTCCCTAAATTTTAAAACATCTATGCTGAAGAATTACAAAATCGTAGAATAGGGGAGTTGGAAGGGGGCCTCTTAAGGTCATCAAGTCCGGCCCCAAACCTGCTCAGGGTTGGAATTCAAATCAAAGTTATGTTTGACAGAGGCTGGTCCCGAATCCCCGTTTTTGCTTCCTCAACCGCTCACGCTCAAGAACAGCAGCCGCGACATCCAGACAGATGTTTTTTTAGGACTTTCTGCTTCTTTCCCACTTCCCTAAATTTTATAACATCTATGCTGAAGAATCACAGAATCGTAGAATAGTGGCGATGGAAGGGGGCCTCTTAAGGCCATCGAGTCCAGCCCCCAACCTGCTCAGGGTTGGTATTCAAATCAAAATTAAGTCTGGCAGAGGCTATTGAATGGCTTCATAGCTCTGGAGCACTCACCACCTCCCGAGATCATGGGCTCCATTGTCATACTGCTCTAACAGTGAAGAAGTTTTCCCTGATATTCAAATCTGGCTTCCTGTCTCTTGAGACCATGAGGATGTGTCCTGCACTCTGGGGTGATTGAGGACAGATCTTGCCCCTCCTCTGTAGGACAGCTTTTCAAGTGTTTGAAAAGTGGTATTTTATCTTTCCCCTTAAGTCTTCTTTCCTCAATGCTAAATACACCCAGTTCTTGCGGTCTTTCCCCCTAGGGCTTGGTTTCCAGCCCCCTGATCATCTTTATTGCCCTCCTCTGAACTTGCTCCAGTCTGTCGGCCTCCTTCTTCAAGGGCGGTGTCCAGAACTGGACACAGGACTCTAAAAAAGGCCTAACGGGTGCCAAAGACTAAGACCTCACAGTATTTGGAGATTATATTTCCGTTAATGCATCCTAGCATCATATTTGCCACGTTTGCAGCCATATCACATGGCTGGCTCGTATTCAGCTTGTGATCTATTTTTCTTTTCTTTTTCTCCCTCAGCACTTCAGAACTTTTAAAAGTTTGCTTTCTTAACCAGAGGGCTGTCAAAGTACACACAGTTTATCCAATTTTAGTAGTAAAACCATCAAACCTGTCTCTGAAACTCTGGAAACTGATAGTTGGTATAGTTGCTTTATTTCTAGGTTTACCCTCTCAAAACCTAGCAGCTTCTTAAAATCCCGAATCACAGATTCAAAAGCCCACTTTGATCGCCATTGTTGAATTGAACAAACTCGCCTGGAGCCACAAGTGTTTATATGGGCAAACAGGAAAGGCAAAGATGAAAATTAAAAAGAAAATGAACAAATTTTTTTTTTTGCTCTTACAAGTCACTTGGATTTGCATTCCCATTCCCAGGCTGGGGGTTTCCTGGCAACTGGAAGTCCCCCAAAGCATCTTTTCTTACCTGTGGTCATGAAAATGCATTACTACAAAGCAGCACTGAGTATGTCAGGAGCACTGTAGCCTCAGGGGATCAGTTCCAACCCCCACCCCACCCCACGGATGCTGAAAAATGTGGATAATTGGAAATGCCATTTTAAAAGGGAGTGCGAGACATAACATGGTCTCTGGCTCCCCCTAGTGGCTAGTTTTGGTCATGAGACCATGAAAATCTATTTCACTAGGCGCTATAAATACACAGCATGGTTTCTGGCTCTCTCTATTGGCCAGTTCTGTTAACGTCATCTTCAGAAATGATGTATATTCCTTGGATTTTTATTTTAATATTTTAAGATGTTGGATAGGTGAATTGGCCTGGCTCTCTGCTGATGCAGACCTATAGCATGACAACGTTTGTAACAGGTCACCCTTCAGCCTCTGCTAATAGAGGAAGGTGTGTCGTTTTCGGAGGCGGGCACATCCACAACCAAACAGCTTGCGTTGCTCTGATGCCCTTCTCTGTGCACAAAATGACTTAAGTTTCCTGGGCTTTGAAATCTGCCTGGACCCAACCTTTCTGACTGTGTGCCTTTCAGAGGTGACACCCTACCTGTTTCTCCTCTGGGTCGTACAGAGGAGCCGTCGGGTGCAAAACCGCCTTCTGGGCATAGTAGAATAGCTCGGAGATGTTCTTCAGATTCTTGGCGGAACACTGGGTGCGGAAAGAAAAAAGAAAAAAATGGAAGAGGGAACGAGATGAACCGAATCAAGGAGAGAACGCTTGGATAACCAAAACAGCATATCCTACAAGGAAAAGCTCTGGGGGAAAAACATGCTTGGACAGAAAAAGCAGAAGAAAATACAAGGTGGGTGCTCTCTGTAGGACTGAGAGCAATTTTTCAGAGTTCCCAGGAGCCCACATGCTGTTCCGCCAAGGTCATGGACCTAAACGGGATGGGTATGGCCAAAGAGAACGATTTGCATATGCAGTTTTTCAAAATTTAATGCGGCAGTTAAAGTTGAACTCTAGTGATAACAAAGAGCTACTGGTAGATTTTTTTTTTAAAAAAACACCTTTCCCCTAATTCCAAAAGCCCTTGCGCCCTCTAGTGGCTACTTTTATAAAATTAAAAAGGTGTTGGGGGTGGAATGTGGACTCTCAGAAAATTTGGGTCTCGAAACACAGGAAAATCACCCTCCCCGTCTCCTAGATGGCAGAAGGAAACTTTCTGAGATTATTCCCCCCTCCCAAAAAATTATGTTTTAAAAATTAAGGGGGGAGGATTTGCATGTGGTCCCACCTGAGCTAAAACAAGATAGAATGGGGAAATCGGCCTATAATTCCTAAAACTTTTAGCCAGCAAAACCACTGATGCTGACTTGGGAATTCTGGGAAATATAGTCCAAAAACATAAATCTGCACCCTTCCAGCTCTCCTGAACTAGAGATCGTCATCCCCGTTTAAAACAGGGAAAGCTCTAATTGATTTCTCATCCTGGAAAACAATTCTCAGCCGGATTCCCAGAGTTTGCTGACCAGGCAGCGTGGGGAGAATAGGTACAAAAGTTTTGGTAGTTCCATGTACTTAAATGGCTGGAGGACAGCTTATCTTCAAGAAAACAAGGTTAGCGGCACGTGGTGTGGGAAACACAGAACCTTTCCAAGCCTAGTTTTACGGAGGACCCTTTTAGAAGTGCAGAATCATAAAAACAGCAGAGCGACAGTCCTCCCTGTTAGCCCAAGGTGGACAACCACATACGAATATACTTCTTCTGTTAAACCTGTTGGAAGCTGTCTCATCTTTCAGTTCTGAGTGGAAGGCAGGGCATGAATTGGGGGGCGAAATGCATTAAAAAAAAAAAAGCCAGGCATTCCACTGTCTTCCGTCGAAGGACTCCATCACATGTTGCAGTAGACCAACCAGACCTTGGAAAGCAATTTTTAAAAGACAATTCTTTCCTTTTACAAATACAAGTTGTAGCCACCCATAGGTACAAGGTTTAAAAAAGCTACTTCCTGGGTTAACGGTTGCTTTTCAATGATTCTTAGGAAAATACTTAGGATGCATAAATGACAGAAAACGTGCCACCGTTGTGTCATTTAAAATTAACATCAAAAGTTTCTTGTTACAGCCAACCAGTTAGAAAATTTTATTCTCACATGCAGTGTCGCTTTCGTCAATACTTAAAAAAAAGTAATGTGTTGGAGAAAACTATGGGACTTCCAACTTGTTACTTCTAAGCTCTCAGTCCAACACAGAAGGAGGGCCAGGAGAGGACACCGCAGGTAGCAGAAATCTGTTTCTTCCCCCCCTTTTTGAAAAGCTTCATACCTCCACACAGGTCTCTATTTCTGAGAACTGGTTCATAATGGGCAGGATGGTTTCCATGGAGCTCCCGGTCTGCAGGTCCGACTTGTTTCCCACAAGGATGATTGGGATCCTGAAAAAAAATTAATAATAAAAAAGAAGAGAGTGGAACATGGGTAGTGTAATAGGCCAGCATATAATGACATATAGTCGTGCCCCGCTTAACGATTGCCCCGCGTTATGATGAATCCACTTTACAACGATCTTCTTACAAAAGATGGTCTAAATGGGGGAATTTCGCTTAGCGATGATCGGTTCCCTGCTTCGGGAACCGATTTTCGCTTTACGACGATCAAAAACAGCTGATCGTCGGGTTTTCAAAATGTCAGCCGGGTGCTTAAAATGGCTCCGCGGTGTGATTAGGGACGGATTCCTCACTACACAGGCAGTGAAAATGTCCGCCGTATGGAGGATCTTTGCTGGACGGTGAGTTTTTACCCCACTGGAACGCATTGAACGGGTTTCAATTTTTAATTTCGCTTTACGATGTTTTCACTTAATGGCGATTTTCCTGGAACGGATTATCGTTGTTAAGCGAGGCACCACTGTATGTGGTTCTGCTCTAAATTCAACAACCAGGAAGAGACAGAGATCAACATTGCCAAACTTGATCTGCCTAATTAAGACCCTGTTTGTGTGGTGACAGATCAGCATGGCAGAGTCAGATTGCCTTCTGAGCTTCTATTTTGTGTTTTTTTAAATTTGCAAAAGAAGGCTAGCATAGAAGGATAACTCTGGGTCACTTTAGATCTCTTTCCCAGTGTCCTAGTTTGGAATTGTCTCCTTAGGACACGCTTCGGCTGCACATGAGATGGTCTGGAATTGGACTGGAGAGAGATTTGCTCCCGGCACATTTTAATGCAAGCTGACCCAATTCGTACATCTGGAACCAATATGCAAATGGAAACCCACGGATTCTTCCACGATACTGTGCCACCAAGCTTTGCAATGCGGTTCGTCGGAGAAAACAACATCTAGAAATATCACTGCATTAAGAACAACCACTTGCAAAGATGCAGGTTAGGCAAAATTATATATACGTTTGAATAAATCAGGAGAAATGCACGTACAAATGCGTAAGCATTTTTGTGTAGGCATTTGGAAAAAGGTGAGCGTGGGAGGAACAGAATTAAACCCAAAAGCTGAGAAAATCAAATGGACAGGTTCTCTCATCCCTTGACTGAACACAGACAACTGGGCATCCATAAAAGCAGGACGGCTGTAAGAGGAGGATGAATTATGGAACTTCATCAGCAGTAAGGGTAGACTCGCGTGCAGTGTTTTCTGTCTCTGCAAACAGGCCAAACTACTTTTCAGCACACACACCTGCATGGACCATGTTAAGGTGGGAACTGTAGGTTTGTGTAAACTGTGCGTTTGCCCAGTGACAGATTACCTGCTGTACATGAACAAGCCCCAAGAGGTTCAAATCCCAGGATCGCCAGTTTAAAAGTAGAATTTCTGGCAAGATCCTGGAGGACTGATGCAGGTCACTTGATGATCCGTCAAGGCAATTCTGTCTTATGGTGACCCCTTTCAGGCTTTTCCAAGTAGAGTATACTTAGAAGTGCCTTACCCTTTCCTTCCACTAGGGAGCGCCCTGGGACCGTGCAGCTGGCCCAAGGCCCCCCAGGCTGGCTCTGCTCTCAGGAGGCCCCGTCGGGAATCGAACTCCCAACCTCTGGCTCCCGCAGCCAGAGACTGAATTTGCGGATCCAAGACTGGAAAGAGCTGACGATTTAAGGAAATTTATTTCTCTGGGGAAGCATTCATCACTGTCACTCCTTTTAGGAAGACATTTTAGCTTTATAAAATAAATAGGCTTCTGTTCTAGAATTCTGCACTCTTTAAAAAGAGGGGATTGTTGTTCCTCATTAAGGGGAGCAGTTTATACTCAACGGCTGGGAAGATGCAGCCGCGGTTCCATTCCCCTGGATACGAACGTACCTGGAACACTTGTCAGCTCCCCCATTCACCATCGGAATCCATTTTGTCCGAATCTGAAAGACAAAAGGGGGAAAAATGAACATTAAGTGGATTGGAAAACTCCTGGCCAGAACACATTAGAGACAGGGGAGTCGAGACTCAATCAGACGCAGCCCCACAGAATCAGCAAAGCTGAACGGTGGCGATCATGGTCTATCATGTCCAGTTCTTAATAACAATATTCACAAGAAGAGAAACGAGAGAGATGATGGGGATGATGACCCATCTCCTGCTTCCCATAAATCAATCTATGAAACATGTGCCACTTGTGAAACCCATCAGAGAACGGATGTCTCTGAAACAGCACCCTGAAGAACACCCCAAAAAAGGGACAAAAGCCATCTTTTTGGGTCCCTGGAGGTTCTTTTGGACTACAACTCCCAGAAGCCTCCACCACGCGCTGTGCTAGCCAGGATTTCTGGGAGTCGTCATGCAAGAATATCTGGGTTACCCAAGGATGAGAACCCCAGGGCCAAAGCAAGTTGACGGCCGGCTGTTCAGAATAAGGAAATAAGAGTTCCACATTCTCCTAATTCAAATCTGAGGACGTTCGCCATTTCTGAGAAATTCTTCTTCAAAAGCCATCTGACGTGAAATGCCCACTCGTTCACAGCACTGGGAAGAATCGTGGTGGAAAGGAAGCCTGGACAAGGTTTCCCACAACGCTTCTAATTCTGGGAGTTGAGTTCCCCCCAAAAGCAAATTTTTTTCCAGGCTCTGAAGAAAGCCCGTCATGGCTTTTGGGGAGCAGAGGGGAGAGAAGCCGCGCGAGGATCTACCTTATCGATGGTGGACTCCTCCGTGACGTCATAGACCATACACACCACGTTCGCCTGCAAGAGAGTAAAGGGGGAGAGAGGTCTTAGGAAATGACAGAAAAGGCAGGACTGGTAAAACGAACCCAGGGGAACGATGGGTTGTTAGTCACGCTTCCTGAAAGCACGGCCAAGGAAATGATTGTTGTTGTTTGTTGCTGTTGTGTGCCATGAAGTCAAGTCACCTCCAACTTATCGAGAACCTATGAAGGTGCGATGTCCAAAACGCCCCGTCCTCCATTGCAATCAGTGCTCAGCTCTTGCAAACTCAAGCCTGTGGCTGTCTTTCGGGAGTCAGCCCATCTTGTATTGGATCTTCCTCTTTTCCTGCTGGACTCCACCTTTCCCAACCTCACGGCCTTTTCCAGAGAATCCTGCCTTCTCCTTGATGGGCCCAGAGTAGAACAGCCGGCATGGAACATGGACTGTCGTTTAAATGCAACTTTCCGAACAGCAGAACGAAGCAGAGGAGCTTTCTGTAGTATCCACAACCTCTGACTTTGTGGTAGCAGCTGAATGCTGGGGCTTCTTTTAAAGAAAATAATAATAATAATGTGCTGTCCAGTCAATTCTGGCTTATGGTGACCCTCTTCCGGGTAGAGAGAATACCCAGAAGTGGTTTCCCTTCCACTAGGGGGTGCCCTGGGACCGGTCAGCTGGCCCAAGGCCACCCAGGCTGGCTCTTCTCAGATTACCAACCTCCGGCGCTGCAGTCAGAGATCTAAATCCCTGAGTGATCAAGAGGTGCAAAATGGAACACATTACAGAAACTTCTAAAGCGGCGTGTTTCTGCCTCGCAATGCCCAGAATGACCCAGGCAGCATGACCCATGTGTCAAGGAGGGTTGGCCAAAGTCTTCCAACTACCGCTGAGAAGGCTGTCTGTTTGAACAACTCCATCTTCTTTCTCTCCCTAAGCCCCAGCAAGCAGGAACACTCAAGGAGATTTTTGCTGCTTGATCAGGCTTATTGCACTTGTCGGGGGTGTGTGTTCATTTCAAAACCCCCAACTTCTCGCCATCGTTGCTTGAGCAGAACATCTGCCCTTTGGGCTTCTCCACGCTCTGCTCAAACCCGACCCTCGCCTCTGCTCAGACGGTGACGCCGCAAAGGCTTTTAGGGAAAAGCAGATGGCCGGATCACTGGCCTTCAGGGGAGCGCGTTTTATCGCTTAATCTCCCAAACACACAAGATTTTAGATGGGATTTGGCCGGAGCTCCTCTAAGCTTCTGGTCTGCGCACAGACTGTTGCTGGGGACGAAGAGGCGAAGGAGGTCCTTCCGCAGTTCGATGGCCAACCGCCTCCCTTCTGGGCAAAAGGTCCCGCATCCGGCGCTCAACGTCTCCGCTTAAAAAAGTTCTTGGGAAGAGGACAGCGCCAGTCAAAGCGCCTAGAACAGAGCCGAAGAGACCTCTGAGCCATCCATGGCGCAAAATCCAGCCACGTTTCATGTTTGCGTGTGGCCACCATCAGAGAGACCAAGAAAGCTACCAGCAGAAACCAGGCCTTCTCGGTGGTGGCCTCCACGCTGTCGAAGGCGCTTCCTGAGGATATTCAGCAGATTCCCTCCAGGAAACGGGTGAAAACTATATTCTGAGAAAGAGGGATTTGGAGAGATCTTACACCAGTAACTTCCTCATGGTTCCACGTCGTGGTTATGGTTCTGACTTCACGTCCAAGATTCTTTTCTTTCTTTTCTTTTGAAGATATTTGGGATTTGATGGTTTTCAGGGCCTTGCTATTTATGCCCTGTAAGTGGGGAGGGGTTGCTGTTTTTAAATGTTTCCTGCCCAGAGAAGTGCTTCGGCAGTAGACGGGCAGGCCGTCGATACAATGAATGAAATAAAGAAATAGATTTTATTTTTTCCCCCCAACCCATCTCCTTGCCTCGGTCCAACGGGGACACTGAAAGAGGGTCTCTCTTTCTGCTTCGCAGCAACAGCGCTTGGATGTCACTTGAACGGCCCCGCCTCCAGCCCGTGGAACTCTGGGAAGTGTAGTCCGGTACAGAGTTGGGGTCCTCGACTACAGCAGCTCTCTAAAACCACAGTGCCAGACTTCTCCACCAGAACGATCTGAGTTTCTCACCAAACCAGCGGCTCTGTGCACTTCCCTGGCCTTGCGCTTGAAGAGAGAACGGACTCTAGCCGGGCTGGAGTCCGAACTGTGTTAACCGGTGCCCTGCCTTCAAGCTTGTGCCACCTCCCGAGCCATCGGCCATGTCCGGCTGGGGCATTCCGGGAGCTGTGTTTGCATACAGTGTTCTTTGCTTGAAATAGGGTCTTTTAATGATGTGAACCACCATGGTGCACTCATGGTTTTCAGCTTTAAACATCGCCTGTAAGTTGCCTGGGGTCCTTTTGAAGGAGGAAGGCAGGGTAAAAAGATGTGAAATAAAAATAAATAAATGAATTTTTAAAAAAGCAGTGCGGCCAAGGTTCGGCCCTTGAGAGACAAGGAGGGGGCACTTTTGCCTGCTCCCCACGCAAAGAAGCAGACGTTCTAGGTCTTCCCCCCTCTTGAGCCACAAAACCAGGAGCTTAGGGTCTACCAACTAGATAAACAGCCACCCCCTCTTCCTCCTCCTCCACCACCACCCTCTTCTCCCTGCTGGGGTCTGCTTTAACTCATAGCCGCTAAATCACGCACAGCTGCTTACAAGCAAGCAAAGGATTAGGCGGACTGTTAACAAAACTGATCATGTTAATCCCAAGAAGCCCTCAGCTCCAGCTGAGCTTTGGAGAGCAGAATTCAGAATACAGGCTGGGGTTGCAAAGGCGGGGCGGGGCGGGGGCTGCACCACCCCCACCCTCCTCCTCGTGCCAGCACATTGTTGAATTATTTTTATTTTTTTGCTCACCTTGGCAATTTCTTCTTCTGAGCTTTGGAGAGCAGAATTCAGAATATAGGCAGGGGTGGCAAAGGCAGGGCGGGGGCTGCGCCACCCCCACCCTCCTCCTCGTGCAATCACATTGTTGATTTTTTAAAATTTTTTTGCTCACCTTGGCAATTTCTTCTTGGAGTTCTTCCTCCGTCTGTTCCGATTCTGCAAGAAAAAGAAAAGCGTTGTGTATTTTGGTGCCAGTGCTGTCGAAACACCTGCATTCGGGGCATGAGAGACCAGGGGGAAAGAGGATCGCAGCAGCCGCGATTTCTGCAATCCGGTGCTGGGCACAGAAAACCTGGGTCCAAATGACAAATCTGTGGGCTGTCCGGGGAAGGCTGGGTTTTCCCATAATCATTCCATTTTAAAGTAACAGAAGCGAGTCGGGGTTGAACGGAAGGCGAGGAAGTCCTGCTCCCCCCCACCCAATCCTACCACTCCGGGGTTCAGAATGAATACGAAGACATTTCGGACCGTAAGAGGTAGATTTCAAGCAGTCAGGGTAACGACGTGGAAGGTCATGCTGTTTGACAAGGCTGGGAATATTTTTTTTATTTTTGGGTAGCCCCGAGCCCACCTCTGGCCCTCTCTTCTGGCCCAAAAATGATGGTTTGCAAATCCCAAATGTAGCCTGCCAAGGGCCAGCCCTGTTTTGCATAGGCTACAGGCCTTTCCTGCCGCATCCCCTGTTCCAAAGATCTGCTTTTTCAGAACGAGAAGTGGGCTTCTAGACACGGCTGGTTTTATATGTTCTTGCATTTTGCCCTTTTTGGCAGCCCATGGAGGGTCAGGGATGGGGGAGCAGAACATGGGCTTCAGGATCTCCCCAAGTGGCCCGCCTGGATTTAAGGAACAAGGAAAGAGTTTGCCGATGGCCAGAGGGCTTTGCCAAGGAAGAACCTCCAGTCCCAACAAGCTGGAAGCCAAGACTGTGCCTTTGTTTGCCAGAGATGTTTTTGCTTACAGGGTTTCCTGCTTTATAGTCTGAAGTTGCAGGAAACGAGCCATCGCCAGGGATGAAGAGAAAGGTAATACCGGAAGGATAAGGATCAGAAGTGGGCTGAATTTATAAATTGTTTCCAGGGTAAGGGAGGAAAGCAAAGGGGCAAAAGGAATGGGGGGGGGCGGCTGCTGCCTACCTGAGTAGTCCACAATGTGGGTAGGGACTTTTTCGGGGGTGACGTCTGCCGGAATTGTGATCTCTTCTGCCCGAGGAGGTACCTGAGGAAAGGAGGGAGGTCATTCGTACAAAGCCGAAGAAGACTGGGCCCCCCGGGAGTGCTTAAGGGGGTCAAATAACCCTGCTGGAGGAGACTATAAAGCCAGGCACTCCTTTGCATGCCTGTAGCAGAGGAAAGCAGCAAAACTTTGATGGACACATTTCAAACTTGCGCAGGGTCCTAGGAGAAACAAGACAACTCTTTCTACGGGGCGGAGGGTTGCAGGGTCAAACTGGGGAGATGGACAGATTCTGCCACCATCTGCTTGCGGCAGAGCGGGGATTCCTGGAAGGCAGGAGGAGACACAGCAGAAGAGAAAAGAAACTAAGCAGCTCGTTCAAGCATCTCGGAAAATAAGTCCCCTCTGTGCATGGGGGCTTCCTGCCGCCATCCACTGAAGCGCTGGGGCAAGCGGCAGGACCGTGGAGGGAGCACCTAGGAAAACATACGCCCACTGGACAGAGACCTTGGCACACCCAGGAGGCTCCTGCTGGCCACAACCGCCATATCAGAGTGGATGACCGGCGGCCGGATCGTTCAAGCATCTCGGAAAATAAGTCCCCTCTGTGCATGGGGGCTTCCTGCCGCCATCCACTGAAGCGCTGGGGCAAGCGGCAGGACCGTGGAGGGAGCACCTAGGAAAACATACGCCCACTGGACAGAGACCTTGGCACACCCAGGAGGCTCCTGCTGGCCACAACCGCCATATCAGAGTGGATGACCGGCGGCCGGATTCACGCCCTGGGAGAGAGGTGGGGGCCCAGGGCAGAGGTCCACCTGGCCCAAAGCCCCCTACCCCTCCACACAAATAGGATCCTGGAAGCTAGAGCTTGGATTTTTTTAAAAAAATTACTGGACTACAATTTCCAAATGTCTACTTGTTGAGTGTTGCACTAGGCGGCCAGTCGGTCGGCCAGGTGGGGCATTTCAAGTCAAACTGCAGGAATAAAGTCCTCCCCTCTATTCCCAAAAACGGAAGGAGGGCTAACGCAAAAGGTGCAAAGGGTAGAGGAAGGCGGGGGTGGGTGGGTGCTCAAAGTCAACTTCTATAAGTTGGGGGGGTCAAGCTCAGAGCTGGGGAACAGGCCAACGAAAAAAGGGAGCTCTTTCTATAAGAAGGGATGGGCCAAGAGGGGGTGGGGGGAGTTTTTGCCCGTGGAGAGAAAAGGGGTCTGCCTGCTCTTGGGGAAGGTGCCTTGGAGATAAACGGGGCTGTTTGAGTAAATTAATTCTCTTTAAAAAACAAACAAACCCTCTCTCCATGAATCATCACCATCATCTTGTTGCAGCTGGAAGCAACGAGGGATCCAAATGTCTACTTGTTGAGTATTGCTCTGGGCTGCCGGCTGAAAGGGGCTTTTCAAGTTGAACTGCAGGAATAAAGTCCTCCCGTCTATTCCCAAAGTTCGAAGGAGGGTTAACGCAAAAGGTGTAAAGAGTAGAGGAAGACGGGGGGGGGGTGCTCAAAGTCAACTTCTGTAAGGTGGGGGGGTCAAGCTCACAGCTGGGGAGCAGGCCAACGAAAAAAGGGAGCTCTTTGCCTAAAGACCAAGGTTTTGCTCCCGGACATGCCCGAAGCAGAAACGGGACATTCTTCCCACCACCTGTTTTAACCCCTGGCGGGCAGGGAGGGGCAGGGGATTCAGGAGAAGCCCCCGGGGGGATCACAGGGAGAGCCTCAGGAGCTGCATGCGGCTCTCACTCAAGGGCTACGGCTTCTTAGCTGGGAACCCACAGGACAGAAAGGAGTGGTCTGGCCCAGGAACGAGGCAGACTTTGGGCCGTGACTCCAGGAGGATCAAGATAACAAGGAAAGCGAGGCAGGGGAGGCGTAAGAATTCCAGGCATCTGGAAACGATCTACCGGCTCTCCTGGCAGCAGAGTCTGGGCTGATCTGAGCACAACAGGAAAGGGCGTTCGCTTGACTCACCTCTTCCGGGAACTCCTCGCCCACCAGGGCCATGATCAAGGAGGTCTTTCCCACCTGGGCTGCGAGGCAAAGGAAAGAGGGGGGAAAAAAAACAGAACAATCACTGGGGGTGTCTCCCATTAAGGAAAAGGACAGGACATCGTGCATCACACTCCATGTGCTGCAGGACAGATGGGAGCATAAAGTAGAGAAATCAAAGTATCCGCTCACCACCACTGCTCCAACTCATGTCTAAAAGCACTGAACTTGGGCTAGAAATTCCAGTTAAGACGGGTGGACTCAACAGGATAAGAGAGTCACTTAAAGAGTCTTCCTTCCTCTCAAGAGATCTTGGCTGCAAGTACACGCCTGAGATTTACCGTGTCTTTGGGTTTCCCCTCTGCCCCCTCATCATGGCGTCTACCATTTGGAAAAGCTCCCCTTTTTGCCGAAAACGTGTGCAACTTTGCTTTGAAAATCTAAGCTCACAGAGAGAGAGAGAACAAGCCAACGGATCTGACATTGGACACTCCTCCTTAAACATAGTTCCTGCAATGAGACATCATTTACTGCATCATCCAGTGCGGCTTGTTTTACAGAAGTGCACCAAAGACACACAAGGAAAGGACCAACTTTTCTCCAGGATCCGGCCACCCAACAAGAGCCCAGCAGCTTGGGAGCATTTAAACCGCTACAAAATGCGATGTGTCCCTGTCTACTGTGCAAGCATCTAAATCATAGGTTCCCAAAGTGGTCTATATGGAGCCCTAAGGGTTGATTTCGACTTGCAGGGGGTCCATGTCAGAGAGGAAAAAAACTGGGGGTGCACGAGATGTAAATAGGGGTCTACGTGAGCAGATCCCATTAGGCAGATTATAATAAATATTTAGGCAATCTGTAATTACACCAAACACAGATTTGGTGTACATAATATTTTATAATACAGTGGTGCCCCGCATAGCGAGGTTAATCCGTTATTAAGGTTAATTAAACTTAGTTTAATGCGTTCCAATGGCTTCTGTACTCACCGTTTAGCGAAGTTTCCCCCATCCGGCAGCCATTTTCACGCCCTTGGTAAGCAAGGGCAGGGCGCGAAAACGCTGCGTGTGGCCATTTTGGAGCCGCCGATCAGCTGATTTGCCGACATTGCAATGCGGAGATCGGTAAGCAAATTCGTCGTTGTACGGTGTGCTCATTATGCAAGGCACCACTGTATTATGTAATTAGGTACTATGCACTATCTGTATTGTGGTGTGCTACATTCATGTGTAAGTTCATAAAATTATGGATAAAATTTTATGGTAAATGTCGGTGTGTTGTAAATGGGATCACCAACATTTTGTCGTTTCTCATTACTGAGCTATACAGGGGACACACATCGCATGTGTATGTACTTGTTTAGACTTGTATCAAAGCTTTGCATGGATTTGTCTGATTCACAATTGATAAATAGGAGTGTTAAGAGACATTCAGTTGCTTTCTGAGTTTGAGAAGAAAAGTGGCTTAAAAATACGTTCCAAAATATAGATAGAAAATAGGTAAAAGTCAAGTGAATCAGAATCATCTCCTTTAGGAGCGCCTAAGGAAAGTAAGTAGAAAATTTTATACATGTTTTGTAGTTGTTACGACGGTAAAAGTCAAGTGAATCAGAATCATCTCTTTTAGGAGCACCTAAGAAAAGTAAGTACAAAATTTTATACATATTTTGTAGTTGTTACGATTGCGTAGGGGGTCTACGGAAAACAAATAAGTCAGCAAGTGGTCTAGGGGGCAAAAAAGTTTGGGAACCTATGATCTAAACGCAGAAGGGCCCCAGTCTATTGCTTTGTGTGTACACATGTCTCGTTAGAGAAACTCAGAGAATTAATAATGCACGGCGCCTCTGGGCAAAATTTGGATTTGCAATGGCTCTCAGCAGAGAGGAAGCGCTCGGCTGTGCATGCATGTGTTTTAAGGTTATGAATATTTGAAAGCATTGTCTGCAGCCCTGCAGAGGAGAAAAGAAGCACTTTGTTTTAGCTGCGGGTTCCGACAGAGATAACGTGTCGTTCTCGGGGCCGATTTCCGAGACAGCTTGAAGGAGGAAAAAAAGTGAGTGAGAGACAGCTTGGGTACCTCCGCGGGCGCTCCCGATCCATCTTTACATCACCCTCCCTGGGAAAAGACTCACGACTCGGAACAACAGAGCGACACCAAACGGGATTCATTCAAATAAAATGCGAACGGAGAACTCCCCGGTGCTTTCACTATTTCCGCAGCTGATTTATTCATGAGAAGTCTAAGGCTGCTTTAAAAAATAAATAAAAATCAGGAACTAAAGTTTTTAAACCTGTTACGCTCTTAGGTTTCTAAAGACGCGCAAAAGCTTAGATTCCAACTTTGGACACTGAGTTCGCGGCTATTTTTGGTTCAGAGAACAGCCTGGCAACAGGTGGACGGCCAGAGAAAGTGGAACCGATTCACAGAGAAGAGGTTCAGCCGGCAGGAGACAAAACAGGGATGAAGGGATCCTCCATGGCCAAAAGAAGTATACCTTACTGTCATGACTGGGCAATTGCTGCAGGGAAACCATTACCGCCAAGGGAAAAAAGAACCCCATTCTAGTTTCGACACAAGAAGGTCGGAACTCTGGCAAGGCACTCTGGTATCCTTCAAACAAACTGTCACTATGCGGGGCAAAAAAGCCCATAGGAATGCATTAAAACATGTTTAATGTGTTCCTATGGGCAAAAAACTAACTGTTCTCTGAAAATCCTCCATACGGCCGCCATTTTCGCTGGCTGGTAAGCGAGGAAAGGGCACGAAAACAGTGCAGGCGGCCATTTTCTTTACCCGGCGGCCATTTTGGAACCGCCGATAAGCTGTTAAAAAAAAACATTGCTATGCGAAAATCGGTAAGCGAAACGCTTACCGATCATCTCAAAGCGATTTTTGGCCATTAGGAACATCGCAACGCGATCGCTTTTGCGATCACAAGTAACACGTCGCCATGCGGATTTGTCATTAACCGAGGCGCTCGTTAAGCGAGGCACCACTGTATTAAAAGAAAAATCTATATGATAGCTAGCTAGAGAAAATTTCCAAAACTGGCCACTAGATGGAGCCATGCTATATATAGCAATTGCTAGAGAAATCGATTTCCACAACGACATGACCAGCACTGGGCACTAGGTAGACCCAGAAGCCATGCTATGTATAGTGTTCACGATTAAAACGGGGTGGTGATGGTTTGGAACCAGAGACGGTGGAAGCTGCAGCCCCAAATACCTGCAGGGCCAACCGTTCCCCACGCCTATTTTTCAGGCTCATCTTGACTGCTAAAAACAACTCTTTCAAGACCCGCACAAAAGACAGAATCCTACTCTGGAGTCCATGTTTCACAAGCTACACAAGAGCAATCACAAGCCTGCAGAATACACAGATGCCTGCACCTTCCCTCCGTAGCAGAGCAGGAAAAAGTACCATAGGACCACCATATCCACGGGATCACTATCCACAGGTTCACTTATGCACAGCTTGGGGGGGAAAAAAACTACTTGTGGACTCATGTCTCAGAGGGAAGCAGTTTTGGCAGTTGTTGGTTTCAGGAAATGTTCCCTTGTGAACAGGATGAGAGGAAACCCAGTCCTCTGGCAAGACTGGCCCAGGGTTCCCTCTCTCCATCATGCACAGACACCAGAGAAATTGGAAGTGCTTCATTTATCCACTATTTCCAGTATCCACGGGGTGCCCCTTTGGATACCACGGTTTTACTACCACCTTTTTGCACTCCTGGAATCAGCGGCTGGTTAGGAGATTCTCAGAGCTGTGGTTTCAAAGAGCCATTTTTTCTTAGCTCCAATCTAGATTCCTTTTCCATATCCCAAGGATGACACACCTTGGCAAATGGACAAATACCAAAGAGATGTCTCCCACCAGGACCTGAACTCGGGCTGGAACATCTGGAGGTCACTTAATAGGCTTCAAAGTGAAGTAGGAAGATCAAAGGATAATCAAGGAAAATGGGGCCACTTAGATGCAGGGCAAATATTTATGTAACTGTGGAAACGGCGCACTGAATGCGTGCATGCAATGAATGCTGCACCACCCACCCAAACGAAGACCCAGCAAAAGGCCAAGATAACTCTATTAGAGTAGCCCACTTTTGGTCAAAAAGAGTCTAATTATGTTAAAATTCTAATTTGTTTTTAATTTTACTTATATTTCATATAACTTGTGGAACGCTCTGAGATAAATAACGACAGGAAGCGCCCATTTTCGGGAGTTTGGACCAGATGCAGTTCAAAAGAAGGATTCAGCTCCTCTTACTGAGTTTGGGAAATGAAAGAGCCCTTCCCATCTGGGTACATCAATGCCAGCGGCCTTTCCTGGAGGCAAACATGTCCCCACCATGCTTCTGTGGAGGAAACATCAGGATTGCATGCAAGCAAGATGCTGAGGGCACAGATGGCCGAGCGGCTCCCTCCCAGTGGCAATGAACATTCCTCTCTTCTGTCTGAAAATTAAACTGAAAGCACATTCACACAAAAATGCTGGGGAAGAATCAGCAAGGAATGGGGGAACACAGACCACAAACATACAGTTTAGACATCCAGAGGTCTCTCTCGGTGACACACCAGCTTTTCTGAACTGCTGGCGTTTGCTTTGCAGGCTGCACCTCGCCGAGAGAGGAAGGCCGCCTGCTTCTCTTTCCAGCTCCACCAGGTCGCGACAAAGGCAAGCACAGGCTTGCTTACAAGGCTGGAGATGTTCCTCAAAAAAATAAAGTATTCCAGGCCGTAAAGCTGCAGGTCTGCTAGAATCTAAGCTTGGAAAAAGCTACTTTCTGGGTTATGATGCCCACATTCTGCCTGGAGAGGGAAGCTGTTTTACACGAGGGTCAGGCCTGCTCCTCTAGACCAGCACCGACTCTTTCATGGACAATCCCATCGGATCGATCTCTAGTAGGTGCTTCCCAACCTTGGGTCACCAGATCTTCTTGCACTACAACTCCCAGAAATCCTGCCCAGCCTTCCTAGGAAACCCAGGCCAACGATACATACACATATTCTCCATCATCATTTATTACGGTCATCCCCTGCTCCAGGCCATGTTGAGAATTGC